AGGAATGAGAAGTGCAGGGAAAATCACACCCAAAGATGAATAAAATGAACTATCACATGGCTAAGACCAAAGTTCAAGTGCTTTGGCTATAGCTCAGGCCTGGCTCCTGCACCCTCTTCTCTGATTCTGAGTGCTAACATGCTAACATTCCCTCAAGAGGGTCTAAAGCAGGTGGGGCACAAGAGAGGTAGGTAGCAAGAAGTGGTATTTGGTGCCTTGGTGCCTGGCTCGGAGAACTGGTAGACAAGGAAGAAGGGAAGCTCGGGAGAGAAATCAGTGGTGGAGTGCCACAGCCACCCAGTCATATCACAGTGGTATGAGCACTGGATTTGGGAGTATAGCCAACCAAAGCTAGCCTGGATGGCAGAGACCTGGTGCTGACTGCTGTTTTGTGGAGGATGCATGTTTGGGGAAGACTGAGCCATCAGAGGTTGAACCTCACTGTAGGGAGGAGGCACAGATATTGGCTGTAGCAGTGGTCAATCAGAAAAGTACCAGTTTCAATAATGGACCAATGAGGTTGTTGCTTGAGTTGGCCATCGAGAATTGCATAAGTTTCAATTCTGTATTTGCATACGAAGACCTCACTGAAAACTTGAGTGGGAATTTTGTCTTTATAAAAGTATATCCCTGGGGAACCAGCAGTTAGCGTAATGGCTATGTCGCTGGACTCCCACGTAGTCGACCGCGGTTCGTGTTCCGGACCCGGTGGCTTAAAACTCACGCCGGGCGCGTGTGCGTGCGTGCCCAAGATCCCGAGAGGAGAATGGAGGAGCACAGATATTGGCTGTAGCAGTGGTCAATCAGAAAAGTACCAGTTTCAATAATGGACCAATGAGGTTGTTGCTTGAGTTGGCCATCGAGAATTGCATAAGTTTCAATTCTGTATTTGCATACAAAGACCTCACTGAAAACTTGAGTGGGAATTTTGTCTTTATAAAAGTATATCCCTGAACACATTTGGAAAAATGGCCTTTTGAGCAAACTTGGCTGTCTCCTGGATGAGGTCACCTGTAATAAAGCTTTCCTCCTTGACAAGCATTATGGGTCAGAATTTAGCTTTTCTGGCGGTGAGTGACTTTTCTGTCTAGTCTTTGGTTCAGTCACGAGAGTTACTTATACTGTACTTGATCGACTTCAACCTCCTCCTTGGCTAATGAGCCAAAAGTGTCCTGGCCAAGCAACCAGTAGACATTTTGCACTTTTACTTCACCCGTTTTGTTTCCAGAAGTGATAATGATGCCAGAGCCCTTTAAATTCTTCCAAAGAAGGCCTTGTGACAGGAGGAAATCTGGGGATTAGCCAGAAGCTAAGATATTTCTACAAAGTTACATGTTTTGAATTTAAACATGAACATAACTCCTGCATTCCATATTATATTCTGTTTGTTATATAAACATATTTTCTCTCTAATTATTTCTTAGTAAAATTGGTACTCCTGGAAGAAGTGCCAAATTTATCCTGTCATTCTGCATAGATACTCCTACCCCCCCTCCCCAACAGTACACACACTGCTATGTACATCTGGGGTTCACATACCCGTGTGAAGATATTGTTCATCATAATCTTTTCCTCTTGGTGCTGAATGTCCTTACCCTATATCCTAGACTCTTCAATACTTAACTGTCCAAACTCTACCTACCCTGCAATTCAAGACCCAGTTTCAGTGTAACTTTTCCATAAAGATTCCTCTTAGGCTAAAAGTCCTTTCTGCCTTTCTGTACACCCTCAGCTTTCTTTGTATCTTATTAATCTCTGATCAAATTCCACCTTGGTAGGCTTTTGTGTCACTGTCTTATTTTCCTCATGACAAGTCAATTACTTGAGAAGAGGGCTTCAGATTTCCCCATGTATCTACCACAGAAACTGGCACCATATATTTTTCAGGGTCCCAGTGCATGTCGAACATACTTCAGACTACTACTACTAATAGACAGTTTCACATGGGTGCCTTGTAAATGCAAACCTCTGCTCTGTGTTGCATTTGTGCTCAGCTATAATAGGTCTACGGTCTGGGCCGAGGAAAGGGGAGTGGTAAGTTGACTTCACTGTCATAAAGACTCATTTTACAGTTGGAAATGACTGGTTCAGGGAGATGGGTTCACCCAACAGTGTAGAAGTAGCAGTGAGAACAAGATCATACCTTAATATTGTCTTCTGGCCAAGAGTTCAGCATTGTTGCCAGGTGGCCCTTGTCATGAATGGTGATAAATAGCCCACTAGGAGAAACAAAACATGCACACAGAGAAACCAATAAATCAGGCTAGAAATAGATAAAGACCAGGCACACTGTGCCTCATTGTATAACTAAGGTTTTCCCATAGACCTGGGCAAGAGGGATCTTGGCCCCAAACCCCATCAGTTTAGGGGGATCTGCTCTGACCCTCTCCACAGGGCAAGGAGTTCACAGGGCCAAGAGGTATACCCACTTGGAGCCTCTGCTTCTTAATTTGTGTCCTTCCTTCCTCTCTCTAGATCAGGACCCTAGGATTTTGTGACCAAATTGTCCCAAAGCTGCTGTTAAGAACTGGGCAGGCCTCTTCTCTAGGTCCCTCTTCCCAGGTACAGACCACATTGCAGTGTCTAGAAATCTAGGTCTGGGCTGTGATTGGAACTTGGACACTCTGGGATGTCCAAATGCACCTGAATGAAGTCTCTGGATTGGTGGATGGAGCTACAATGGGAATTGGAGCAGTGGTGGCCATGAACCAGTTTGCACTGCACACTGGAGTCTGAGAATTCAAAATTCAAACTCAGCCTTTGAGATATTCATAAAGGTTTATTTGTAAAGGTAGGAGCATGGAATATATTTCATTTAATAGCTTATTAGTCTGATTTAGCACTTGGAATGCTAAGACCTAAAGTATGTGGACCTGAGTCATCAGTGCTGGGATCAGGACTAAGGGAACGTATGGACCTTCATTCTCTGTTTGTTCATCTGTAATTTCATGCTCTGAAGAAATCATGCCATAAAAATAACAACTTTGAGGACTAGCAGTTGATGTGATGGTTGTGTCCCTGCTGAGCGCAGTTCAAGTCCCAGACCTGGTGGCTTAAAACTCATGCTGTGTGTGTGTGTGTGTGTGTGTGTGTGTGTGTGTGTGTGTATGCATATCCAAAGTTCTAAGAGGAGAATGGAGGAAGATTCGGTGTGGCCATCCCCCTGGGGGGCGATTTCTTACTTTCTCGTACTATCTTTTCTGTCTCTCTAGTGAGTACATAGACCTTATAGAAAAAAATCTCTCTGTCTAAAAAAAATAAAAATAACAACTTTTTAAATGTATTAAAAGCTTTAACCACTTCCAAAAATCTCTCTGTCTAAAAAAAATAAAAATAACAACTTTTAAAATGTATTAAAAATTTTAACCACTTCTCAAAGTATTTTTTTTTATTATCTAACAACAGCTACAAATGGTCCCAAAGGATTGTCCTGGAGAAGGATGTTAGATGTCTAGTCCAAAGACTTCATTTTATGGACAAAGACATTGGAGTCCAGAGTGGTGAAGTGACATGTCTGTCTAAAAAAAATAAAAATAACAACTTTTAAAATGTATTAAAAATTTTAACCACTTCTCAAAGTATTTTTTTTTATTATCTAACAACAGCTACAAATGGTCCCAAAGGATTGTCCTGGAGAAGGATGTTAGATGTCTAGTCCAAAGACTTCATTTTATGGACAAAGACATTGGAGTCCAGAGTGGTGAAGTGACATGTTCAAGGGTCACACAACTCATAGGCAGCAGGACCTGCTTGAATCAGAATCCCAAGTCCAGTGAGTGCTCTTCTCACTGCCTCAAGATGACATCTTCCCCCGGGGATCTGTTTCCTGACAGATAGCTAAAGGGGCAGGGTACAGTGTCCCAAACAGAATGTGTATGGGGGATGCTAATGAAATATTTTTCTTTGATGTATGTTGGTGAGGAAGTAAAGTATGCAGGGTGAAGGCTTATGATGATAAACAAATGGACTGCAGGTCTCGGCAGGGTCCTAGGGTTCGGGTCCCTTGCCCATCCACCCATTTCCTGGCAGAGCTGCATCTAGATTAGCTCAGGAAGAAGGTATTCTCAGGGAAGAACATTTTTTCTTCAAGGCCCTCTACAATGTATTTTTAGGTTTAGTAAATTTTCAGTCGAGGAACACCTTTTTCTCTAGCAGTAACTGGAGCTGGTTTTTAATCTATTTCCATAAAGTTCTGATCAGCTGAAGTCTGCAGGCAGTCTCCCCTCAGCAGTCATTTTTAGTGGTTTCAGAGAAATATCTCAGTGCCTGGGGAGATGCCCTTACCTAGTCCTGCTTAGTTCCACTCTGAGACCCCAGACCTGAAGAGTCCCAGAAGCTAGAATGGGGATTTTCAAGTGATTTCCAATAATACAAAGCCTGACAAGTGGTAAAGCTACAAAAAACTCAAGTGGGGCTTTAGAAAAGGGAAGGTAACCTAGAGGAGGGGTTAAATGAAGGTGCTTTTAAATTACAGTGCCTAGACTCAAAGCCTGGCTCTGCCACTGACTGACTACATGGCTATGGGTGAGTTATAACCAAGGTTTGGCTCCTGATGTGAGATGGTGGAAGTGATACCACCTGCTTCATACCTTTGTTATGTCAATTAATCAAGACAATGCATATTTAAAGGCTGTATTACTGAGACCTGGTGGGGGTACAATGGTAATACAACTGGACCCAGATGAGAAAGGTCCTGGATTTTTGTCCAGATCCGGGCTGGCTGAGGCTGAGGGTGGATTCAGGCATAAAGAACCTATTAGGTGTCTCTCTCTGTCTGTCTGTCTTTCTCAGGAGAAATAAATAAGCTAACAATAATAATAAAAGAGTACATCATAGCGTTTGCTGGCATGTTATAAACACTTAACAAATGGAAGCCCTTAATGTTGATTTAGTGTAATGGTTCGGAGTGTAGGCTTGGGGTCAGCCAATGGCCTGTGATTAAGAGAGCTGGATGTCACATGGCTTATTTTATGGTTCCAGTCCTGGACCTGCTGGCTTGGACACACTGGGTATGTGTATATGCATATATGCCCAAAATTCTGGAGGGAAGGAGAGATGGAGGAGAAGGGATTTCGGTGTGACTGTTCCCCATGGGGGGGGGTGTTTTTCCTCTTTCTCTCTCTCTGGCAAGCACATATACCCTCTGGCAAAATTTCAAAAAAAAAATATAAGTTTAGGGGACGACTTCGTGACCTGGAGATTAAGGCAGCTGAATTTCATATGGCCAACCATGCAGTTCAAATCCTTGCCTGGAGAATTGAAAAACATGCCAGATGTGCATGCCCAAATCCCAACAGGATGGAGGAATGGAGGAGAAGGGATTGTGGTATGACTGTTTCTCGCTGGAAGGTGCTTTCTACCTCTCCCTCCTCTTTCTGGTGAATAAAGGTGCCCTCTGGGGAAAAAAGAAAGTTCAGGCTTGGGTGTCAGATTTTCTAGATTCAAATGCTGGCAGAATGTCCAGCGAGGCACTTGGCTCATGGTAAGTGCTTGGTAAATGTTAGCATCTAATTAGACATTAGCTTTTCAACTGTTATAGAATTACACTATGTCAATGTGCCTGATTGTCAGGAGCCATGATCGACGGTTACATGTACCTCTCATTGGTGAAACAGAAAAGCGGTCATAAGTAAAGTATGGTAGGTAGAAAATATTTTATTATGTGAATCACTGAGTGGGGGAAAAATAAAAGTATCTTTAGTGATGCACATTTGTGAACAGAATTTTTGAAGTTCCCTGTCAGAGCTAATAAATGAGAATGAGATCAAGGGCAGTCTGAAAGGGAAGACAAGTCACAAAAAGGCAATATTCATTCATGTAACTTTTTTGACTATCTCTGTTCTGGGACCCCGGCAGGTCTTTATGTACTGTGTTGTCATTGTCATGCAATATGAGGTGGGCATTACCATCATTTTACAGATGGGATTAAGTGGTAGAAATACAGGGCCAGCAGGTGGCATGGTAGTTAAGGGGTTGGATTCCACATGGCAGAGGGCATGGTTGGAGTCTCATACCAGTGGCTTTAAAAACATGCCAGGCACATAAGCATGCATACCAAAATTTTGAGAGGAGAATAGAAGAGAAAGGATTGTTACATGGCCATCACTCCTGGGAGGTGACTTCTCACTTTCACTCTCTGTCTCTGTCTCTCTCCCACTAGTGTACACACTCTATGGCAAAAATCTAAAAAAAAAAAAAAAATTGTAGCAGGTATTGGCAAAAATCTAAAAAAAAAAAAATTGTAGCAGGTGAAATTCAAACACAGGTCTCTTAGATCCCAGAAACATAGCCTCTAAGGGCAGGTCATGCTACCTCTCTGTGCCTTAGTTTTCTCTTAGTTTTGGGGACAGTGGCTTCTTCATTATGAAGTGACTGAGAGGACTGAACAAGGCAAATTGACAAAATCCCAACACACCATGAAGCCCCGTAGATACAGGAATCTCAATGTTTCTCTGGTCAGTCTGAGAGGGATGTGAAATTGAAGCTCTCTTGTTGTATGCAGCTCTGATTTCCTGGCAGCCCTAGATGATCAGGTTAGTAATTTAGGTGCTGAGGAGCTCTCCATGTTCCACAACTGGTTCTATTTCAATCTTTTTCCCTTGAGAAGAAGCCAAGGAAAGCCACTGGGCTGAATGATGCCCAGTGAGGCACTGCCTTTGACAGCCGGTGTGACGTATTCATGGTACAATGTTATCATTCCTGTTCCAGCTGCAAAGAGAGGCAGGAAGGTGGGAAGCTCTGGGAAGCCTGGGGCCTGGGCCTCTCTCTCTGGAGAGATGCAGAGACACTTCCAGGTTTTGAGGGAATTATCGGTTGTCCCAGCCTCCCTGAGCATCCCACAGTGAGCATTTACAACCAAGCAATCTTTAGGGATAATGGATCCTCTGAATAATTAGAACAGAAGGTCTTCACTACTCCTAAGGCTCCTGGGATAGAAGCACTCCTGGGAATCTTGGTGTTAATAGCCACTAATTGGCACAGCATAAAATAAAAACAAAAGCAAAGCAAAACAAAATAAAAAATACTTCAGCTACTGACTACTTCTCCCAAGTTTTTCGTGTTCATAACAAGGAAGCAATTTTAGAATTTGAGGGAATTCCAAAATCCTCTCCCCCTATAGATCCATTGATCTATATACTGCCAAAATCCTCTCCCCCTATAGATCCATTGATATAAATATTAATCCATCTATCTATCTGGTGAATATGGCAAGCCATCA